AAAGTTTTATTAGCTAAATGCTAACACACATAACTAGTCTAAACAAACAAACTAATAAACATACACTCACGCGAATATACAAAGGGGAGCTAAAGTGGATGAATGAAGCCATTAGAGAAACCAGAGAATGCATTTATGGAAAATGAGTCAGAACCACTTGAGTTAAAAACCATCAGTGCCGTTTTACAATTCGGTCTACAGCTTATACTAAACCTCTGTTTTGTTTAGTTAAATGTACGATACTTGCATTGCCTTGGTCGTCGAACGAGTGTCCGGATGCAGTCTCAGATGAAAGTTTTGATGGTTTGAAGGATTGGTGGTGTTGGAGTTCTTCATGTTCTTCCGGGTTTGAAGGATGATGAACTCCAAAAGGTGTTATTCTGGCTCGGTGGTGATTGGGAGAGTTTTCTCCCAGATGAAGGTGATGAGAGAAGAGCGCAGAGCTTGAGAGACATCAGCTGACATCAGCGATGCAGTAGCCAATTACTACATCGGCTGTGGGCGCTCGGGCCGATTACTACATTCTATCTGGGAACAGTCCTTTTAATTGTAATTCATAGAAGAACAGGTATTTCAGCACAGTATCCACAACCAAACAGCAACTTCAGCAACATTAACAAACGGCAAGGATTGAAAAGAAATGGGGAATACTTATACCAAAGCAAGAGTGGGACTAATAATTTAAAGGGGTCAATATGATGCGATTTCAATTTTTCCTTTCTCTTTGGAGTGTTACCTTTGTGAGAGATGCACCGATTGACCGGCCAGTGATCGGAATTGGCCGATTTTTCGCATGACCGGCCCGATCCAGCTGGTCAGTCTCATGTCTTGCCAATTAGAGCCGATCATTTTATTACCAGCAGTGTCGGCAATGACGTCACAGCCATGAGCACACTCACAGTCATGTGTAAATGTGTCGTTTCGCGTGAGAATGATTCTAATTTTAATTGCATATGTATTTATGTCGTGCCAGATGAGGCTTGCACAGCCTGAGTGAATGTGTGAGAGAGACAGCACACACAAAGTAACTCACATAAATTTAGAGATGCATACATTATTTATAAAATATGATTTAGGTAAGCAACATTATACGGCCATGATGTTTCATATACTATACTATTTTATACAATAGTATTTTAATAAACAAGAAGTTTAAATTAAGTGACTTAGATTTTAGACAAAATATTGACTGTTTTTTGCTCAATTTCGCTGACGAAAATAGTTCCGATCAAAGCCACAGCAGAACTGTTGTGTGTCTCCGAGCAACACACATCGGTGTTTCGTTACTGAATGAATCCACGTTTTTGAACAAATCGAGTGAGTTAATGATTCAGTGGCCCATTCATAAAGACAGTCACATGCCTCATTTCTGAATCAGCCGTTTGAATGAATCGGTTGAATAAATGAATAAATGACTCACTCATTAAAACAGACATTTGCCACCACCTACTGGTGGTTTAGTCATATTTAAAAGTATCATTGCATTTTTTCAACATTTTTATTATTATTTTTTTAAACAAGTAAAACATGAATCTTATAAAATTATTTATGCATTTGAAATTTTGCAGTGTAAATGCATTTATGGCACCTCAGCTTCATCAAAAAGTCTGTGTAAATGCCACTTCAGATGCAGCTTCTGTTTCCTCAGCAGTGGAAAGATAGATTTTGTTAATACTAATTTCATTTTAATGGTAACAACTCTACATTTTCGTATTATTCTAACTGAATTAATTGAAACAAAGTAAGAATTTGATGTGAAAGATGACATATCTATAAGCTTAGGAGAAAACAATGACCATTTATAAACATAGTGGGAAACTCATTTTAAGTTAACTATTTCTTTCTCTTTCCAGTCACAGAGCACTTTATTTTGAGAGTTGTTTAAGTGAGAGAAAATCTGTAACTTAGTCCAGATTGGGGGAATTGTAAATTTATTTTATGTAAATCATTTTTGCATTGAAATTTGCATAGATTTTTGTTTGTAAATGCTGTCAATTATAGTTTTTTAGAAAGAAAATCGGAATCGGCAAAAATCGGTATCGGCAGGTCACACTTCCAAAAAACCAGAAATCTGAATCGGCCAAGAAAATTGCAATCGGTGCATCTCTAACAGGAACACAAACAAAAGTCTTTAATTGTGACAAATATGAATACACACAAAGCAAACCAGCTGAACCAAACAGAGGTAACAGAGATGATTCACCAGGTAAATGTCCAAAATACAGAATGTAAACCTAACAATCATTAGTTCAGCATAACTTAAGGGTCCATATAATATTAAAGTTACACTACTGTTTTACATTTCATGTATTCATGACATTCACAACTTTGACATTAATGGATTAATCTCTCCAGAATATCCTTGATGTAAAGCAGAACATTCTTACATTCTTGAGTACCAGGTTACACCATGCATAGTTAAGGTAATTTTGATGGAATTATTATTTGTAGAAAGTAATAAATAATTATTACTGTACTGTTGTTTTCGTTTACGTTTTTAAATTAAAGAGCATGGCAAGCATGATAACAAATGCCTTGTTGTGTGCTTACGTAACGTTTGTCCAAATGTAAGGTTAGACATGGAGTAGAACAAACACTCAAAGGACATGAAATGGAAAAACTGTCATTATATGCAAGAATGTATACAAAATGTCAAAGGCCTGTCATAAAATAAAAACATTGAACACTCTAAAACACTTCTTAAGTTTGTTTGTGATTTAAACATTCACTTGGCTGTTGTCTTAGCTGTCTCTCTTAAAATTCCTTAGGAAAAATAAAAGCAGTAGCAAAAGAGACAATTGTTGACACAACAAGAGTATGAGTATAGAGATATAACATTAAGCTGGACAATAGCCAGATAATTTAGTCTTGGACCAATTCAATGAAACGTTGATAATGTTTGACTGCAGAATAATTTTTGGTACTTTGGCAAATCTGAAATGCCAAATCTGCAGTTTTTAGATTTCCAGTTTTAGATTATAAAACTCTAGAGGAGATGAGCAGATGAGAGATTAAACTGGGATGTTTTCCTTAAGAAAATCTAAGTTATATCCTGACAACTCTCTGAAGATTTTAGCATGGTAATAGATATGACAATTTTAATGTATTTGGTCTTGGGACCAAATTGCGATCTTTGTGTCTTTTAGAGATTATAAATGCAGCGCTCTTTGCTGGCATTCTGCCATGCCAAACCATGCACGCAGCAGCCACTTGCTTTAGTTAAAAATAACAGTGTTCTGTGAATGTTGATGCATAAATTTCATGGAGAAAAAAGTAATGTAACTAATTAATAATTACTTTTGAAATAAAGTAATCAGAACAGTAACGTGATTACTTTTAAAAGGAGTAATCAGTAATTTGATTACATTTTCAGAGTAACTTGCCCAACTCTGCCCGTAGCAGATCTCAGAGGAAGAGGTTTCAGAGGAACTCTAAAAGTGCACTGCAAAATGCTCAAGTGGATGCTAACCAGCCATTTAAATGTAAGCTGCAAGCTCATTGGCTGCATATGCAACATGAACCAATCAGCTTGTGCCAAGTCATTTAATGCTGTGAATATCATCAGTTACTTTAAGAAATCATCAGCCTGTGCCATCTAGGGCTTCTTGAAAGAACTAGACATTTAAGCAAAAGTCATTATTTGCTGTAAATTTACCCCTCCGATGTTTAGAACAAGAAATTTGATTTGACTTGATTTTCATAAGGTGATCTTAAAACCATAATATCATATAGCCTATATTATTATTTAATATGATAGGAAAAATTGACCATAAAATTGGAGCTCTAGAAAAGGTTGCAAACTCTTTTCTTTCTGATGTCCTTTAAACAGTGTGTGTAGGCTACTGTCTTGGTACTGTGTTTGTAAAATGAAGAAACAGTATGTTTGTGTTTATGCATGTGTGCTGTTTTTATGTGCTTGTGATTGATTTGATTTATGCATCCTTTAATGTTTATATTCATTGTGGAGAAATGTTTACTTGTGTGACAGGGTGATGAATGAGTTCGGGACTACACTTTCCCATAAGTCCGTGGGGTAGCGTAATTACGTCTGCACTTGCTATAAATAGAGGCACAGTAGTATAGTATGCGCTTATCTCATTCATCCATTGATGTTACAAACAAGCATGCGCTAAGATCAGGTAACTTGTGCTCAACTGTGTTTTAATAGTGATTTTTTTAAAACACAGTTGAGCACAAATTACTTGATCTTAGCACATACTTGTTTGTAACATCAATGAGATGAGAGCAGCTATACTACTGTGCGTCTATTTATAGCACTTGCAGAGGTAATTACGCTACCCCACGGACTTATGGGAAGTGTAGTCCCGAACTCATTCATCACCCTGTTACACTTGTACATCATGGACAGCAAAACATGATTTGACTTGATTTGAATATTACTTGATACATGTATATGCATGTGGAAGTAGAAAAGCTATAAATGTTGAGGTACTTGACTGAAATATTAAGACATATTTCAAATTATTCTATTGAACTTACATAATTGTATTACATACTTTTTTATCATTTAATAATAAGTAGCAATTTTGCTGATGCTTTTATCCAAAACAATTACAAATTTTAAAGGCAACATGAAATGCATCTTAAAGCTGCAGTCCGTAACTTTTGTTGCTCTAGCGGTTAATAAACAGAACTGCATGTGTCTTGCAGAAGAACACTGTAGCCGGAGCTACTTCTCTCTGTTTATGTCCATGGTGAGTCACACAGGTACTGGGCTACTCCGCAGCGGTGCTGAACCAAACCAGTCTAAAATTGTTTGAATATAAACACTATAAACTGTATTTAGTCAAAAACATTTTAATTTTCATAGTTGATCTGTTACCTTCATTTTAACTAACGTAAAAATATGTCAGTTTTAAAGCTTTTTTTTGGATGGACAGTTAAAGTAATAGGCCATTTAAATTGAGAACCAAATGTCTGTTTTATTCAGTGCTTATCATTTATTGTTACTAACTGTTGTTGTATTTTTTATGTCTTAGATATCAAATCCACACTGGCCTCCAGCATTCCATCATCCGACCCACTCAGCCGAATTGCCTCCCTTTGGAGAACATCACCCTTCCTCAGAAACTGAAGAACGCTGGGTACTCTACTCATATGGTGGGGAAGTGGCACCTTGGCTTCTATAAACGCGGCTGTATGCCTACACAGCGTGGCTTTGATACCTTCTTTGGCTCTTTGTTGGGTAGCGGCGACTACTACAGCCATTACAAATGTGACAGCCCAGGAATGTGTGGGTACGATCTTCATGAGGGGGAAGAAGCTGCCTGGGAGCAGGACCATGGCATCTATTCCACCATCATGTATACTCAAAAGGCAATAAACATCCTGGCATCTCACAATCCTAAACGGCCCATCTTCCTTTACTTGGCCTACCAGGCTGTACACTCACCCTTGCAGGTTCCTGCCCGCTACCTTAAACGCTATAAGTCAATCCCAAACTTGCATCGCCGCAAGTATGCTGCAATGGTCAGCTGCTTGGATGAGGCAGTACGCAATCTAACTCTTGCTCTCAAGCAGTATAGCTATTATGACAACATGGTTATGGTGTACTCCTCAGACAATGGAGGTCAACCAATGGCAGGAGGCAGCAACTGGCCACTAAGAGGCAGTAAAGGAACTTACTGGGAAGGAGGAATACGAGCGGTAGGGTTTGTACACAGCCCTTTACTGGTCAAAAAGGGAACTAGAAGCAGGGCTCTGATCCATATTACTGATTGGTACCCAACACTGGTGATGCTTGGTGAAGGTACTCTAGATGAAAACCAGAACCTTGATGGTTATGATGTCTGGGAAGCCATCAGTGAGGGACGTCCCTCACCTCGACTGGATATTCTCCACAACATAGACCCTGTCTACACCAAAGCCAAGAATGGCTCTTGGAAAGCAGGCTATGGAATCTGGAACACGGCCATCCAGGCAGCACTCCGTATAGGTGACTGGAAGCTCCTGACTGGTGTGCCAGGATATGGTGACTGGATTCCACCACAGACTTTCTCCAAACTGCTGTTGGCCAATCGTTGGCACAATGAACGTGTGAACTGGGATCGAGGCAAATCTATATGGCTTTTCAACATTACAGCTGATCCATATGAACGAGTGGACCTTTCTCGACGATACCCACATGTGGTGAAGAAGATGCTATTCAGGCTTCTACGGTACAACAAGACAGCTGTGCCATGCCGCTTCCCTCCCAAAGACTATCGCTCCAATCCTCAGTATAATGGGGGGGTCTGGGGTCCCTGGTACACAAATGATGACGAAGATGAGGATGATAACCTTCTCTCATATGATTTGGAACAGATGAAGAGTTGGAAGAAAGCGAAACGAAGAGGGAAATTCAACAGAAAGACCTGAGGTCTATAGAAGTTTATGTTGGCTCCCATTTTGACTTTTGTGGTATGAACTCAGGGATGACTGTAGTCTTTAACTTCCAGCACAGTCATTTTGACTGATGTATAGATTTACCTCCAATTTCAATTTAAAAGTCAGTAGTGTGTAATTTAAATATTTTATATTCCAGTTCAATGTGCAGAGAACTATAGGTGATGCATTCATAGAGTGTAAACACTGTGAGGCTTCAAAACATTGCTATTATTTGAAAAATCTGACAACTTTTGTCTCAAAAAATGCTGCAAGTTTGGGTAAGGACAACTAGTGGCAGATGAGAAAAGTGGAAGAAAATCATTGTTTTTGCAACTCTGGTGCTACTAAAAGTACAAAAATGACATGCCTTCAATGAAAATTAAAAAAAAAAAGCATGATGAGGAAGGGAACCACTTGAATAACTACTGTAAGTCTTACAGCTTGAAAAAAAATAAAAACTTTTTGGGATGCATAAGAAAGTTAAATGAAATTGGTGCTATGTTATTGGCAAAAATTTGAGTTCTATTACTGTATATATATATATTGTTTTATTTGATGTTTTGCCTGGTCTGGCAACAGTGAAACTTGAATGTATGATCAATACATCTTTTTCTTATCCTCCTGTTTTCTCTTAATTTTGCTGTGTGTTACATTTCAAGTATCATTATGCTGAACTTGCGTAACATACCACTAATACTTTGGTATGTACTGTTTTACAATACATACTGTATTCAGCCATATCTAAGTACACATACTAAAATACATGCAAGCAGTGATTATTTTCCTCTTGCAGTAGTTTGAAAAAATGAAGAATTTCTGTCATCTGAATGACTGTAAGTCAATATTAAACTTTTTTCTGCAAAATTGATTGTCCTCAGCAGGGATTTTAGATTTGGTCTGACCATTTTAAAAATATAATAATGCAATGAATATGGGCTCAAAATAAAAAAAGAAAGAAAGAAAAGTATTGATTTCTACATCCTTTGGTACTATTTTCAGGGTATAAACAAATACTTTGCACACTTACAAAAGCAATGAGCAGATATTGTCATTAACTTTGTTTCAATATCTGTGGCATTGCAATGGTTTGTCTTGCCAAAAGTTAAATCTCTTTGGTCCAAAATCACTTTCCACATAGCTGTATGATAAGCAACAAATACATATTGTATATTACTTTGCCATGTCACAAAGCAGTTTCACATTCATTGTACATGGTCTAATTGCTCATTACTTGAATCTTGTTACATTGTGCCTGTTTAGGACACGGTATAATACTTTCCTGCAGTCCATGTTTTACTGAGATTGTTACAGTGACTTTCAGCTGTGTGGTTATGTCAGTCAATAAGCCAGATGCATATGAAGCTCAGAACATTCCAACAAATAGAAAAAAAAATGAACATGAGTTTTATTGTTTGGTGCTACCCTAGAGCGTAACAAAATGACGCAGCTGGATTATGTAATCTGGACCATTTCCTTGAGAACAATCCGATGTCCCTGGCCAATACTCCACAGCTGTCTTCATAAAACTCATGTGAAGCAAAGCTGGAACAGATTAAAATTCCCCACATTTAATGTACCAGATAACTAGCAGAATGACACCCTACCAGCTTCATATGTCAACTGGCAGTATTAAGCTTGCCTGCAGGGCTGGATCTCTTGGCAGTGCTTTGCATTCCTTGAGGCTGAGCTATTCCATTTTTTTTTTGTATGTATGCTGTTGGTTGGTTCACATTTGTCCATGCTTTCACTGGACTGCTATACCTTGTCAGAGGAGGCACTTTCTGTATTGCATAATGTGCCCACATGGTAAAATTCGTAGGCATAGTTCTAAGACATGTACTGTTTTAATTATACCTGCCACAATATTTACTCATGGAAATAGAATAATTATACACTGGCAAAGCTCTCGGTTGATTTGGAAAATGTTCCACAAACAAAATGCTAATGGGCCATAGTTACCAGATGATAATGTTAATCGCAAAATGCCTAGCTGATATATGTTGGTCTAAGCTATGTATTGATATTGATGTACATAAACGTCTATGATAGGATATGAAGGTGTATTATACAGTATGTATTTTTTGTGTGTGTAAAAGTCCTTCACCTTTATATATTGCAAACATAACTTTGATAAAGTTTGTTGGCTTGCATATTTGCATAAACTCCTGTTTCCTGTAATGGCCAAGTTTTAGCCAAGCATGACTGGAACTCTTTTTGGCAACCAACAAAGGTTCGGCAGGTTCATATTTTTACTCTGTATCTCCTTTATCCCTGCCTTTTCTCTCTAAGCTGCCCTTTTTATTTTGGTCTCTCTTGCTCAAGTTCTATTACTACCTCTCAATCTTTTGTTTTTCCCCCAAAATTCTTGTAAAAAACATGCATTTGCAAATATTAGTATATGTTTTATGGCCATATATAACTTGCACCCCATCCCCCACCCTGAACCCAAACACATGAAATGGCATACAGCAGATAGGCTATATCCATGAAGCCTTTAGACTAATAGTGGTCTCATTTAAAAGACACTTGTCAGTTTGTTGGCACAGAGTCTGAATTAATAACAATCATAAACAGAAATAGTTATAAAGGCTTAAATGTGTTGTAAAGTTTTTAGAAAATAATTGTCAAGAAATATTTTACTGACAATAAATAAATAAAATTGGCCTTGTTGCAGTCTAAAACCTACTGATAAAGTCAGACTTTACGATGTTCTTTAAAATCGGAGAATGTGAGAATGATATATCTAAATCTTCAATTCACACTTTTTCAATCCTTCATTTCATTGATCAGATGTCTCATTTGCCTTTGAATTTTTGCCTTTGTATAAAATTCAATTCAAATTTATTTGTATAGCGTTTTTTATTATACAAACCGTTGCAAAGCAACTTTACAGAAAATTAAGTTTCTACAATATTTAGTAGTATAGCTTATCAGTGGTGACTGTCAGTTTATGTACATAATATATGTCAGAAATGTACGGAAAAATCAATTAAAGACGTAATCAAACAGACGATGAACACTATTAAGCAAATATTAGTATATGTTTTATGGCCATATATAACTTGCACCCCATCCCCCACCCTGAACCCAAACACATGAAATGGCATACAGCAGATAGGCTATATCCATGAAGCCTTTAGACTAATAGTGGTCTCATTTAAAAGAAGACACTTGTCAGTTTGTTGGCACAGAGTCTGAATTAATAACAATCATAAACAGAAATAGTTATAAAGGCTTAAATGTGTTGTAAAGTTTTTAGAAAATAATTGTCAAGAAATATTTTACTGACAATAAATAAATAAAATTGGCCTTGTTGCAGTCTAAAACCTACTGATAAAGTCAGGCTTTACGATGTTCTTTAAAATCGGAGAATGTGAGAATGATATATCTAAATCTTCAATTCACACTTTTTCAATCCTTCATTTCATTGATCAGATGTCTCATTTGCCTTTGAATTTTTGCCTTTGTATAAAATTCAATTCAAATTTATTTGTATAGCGTTTTTTATTATACAAACCGTTGCAAAGCAACTTTACAGAAAATTAAGTTTCTACAATATTTAGTAGTATAGCTTATCAGTGGTGACTGTCAGTTTATGTACATAATATATGTCAGAAATGTACGGAAAAATCAATTAAAGACGTAATCAAACAGACGATGAACACTATTAACAGCAATTATTATATGATGGAATCCAACTTACAGCTAAATGTGGTAGTTCTGTAAGTTGTTTCAGGATTGGCATCATCTGAGGTCCTCTGAGGGGTTGGCATCATCTCTTCTCAGGTGTTCTGGATCCAGACAGAAGCTTGTGTAAATCCTAGTTACCACGGTGTAACGGAGCTGACGAGATGCGAGACGTGCGGATCCATTTGCAAAGCTTTAATGGAAGACAGAGACGTGGTCATAAAACAGGCATGGGTCAGACAATGGCAAACAGGTATATAGAGGGCAAGACAAAAGAGTATCCAAAGGAAGGCGTGAGTCAGTCGACGGTGAACGTAATCCTGAGGGTGAGGCAAATGGGGAATCCACAAGACGAGAGTCCAGGCGAGGTGCAAACACAGTCTGAAACAGCAAGGCAAAGGGTAATTCCAAAACAGGCTATAAACTTCAGGGCAGGCAGAGATCAGACAAAACGAGATAACAGGCAAGGATCAAGACACGGGTAAACAGACTAAGAACAAGGCAGTACTAGATTAAGGAATTTAGAATGGCTCCGTAAAAGTAGCTATCACACAATGAGTGATAAGTGCTAAAACAATACTCGGCAGTTTGAAAGGGATCTGAGTGGGGTAATATAATGAGTGTCAATCAGTGCAATGGATGATGGGATATGTAGTCCGGGATGACATGCAACAGTTTGTGTAGTGTGAGAGTCAATGTAATGAAAGGGTGACCTCTGGTGGCGATCGAGCGGAAGTCCATGGACAGGATTCGTGTAAAAGAATAATTCCAATGACCTTACTTGGATATATCTCTCAAAATGAATAAGCCCTTTTTCACATGACATCAGGCAACTTTCATTTTGACTTGGAGAAGTATGTTTATTTATGACAGCATAATAGAATGCTGGAGCCACTAGCATGGAGTTCACTAGAGAATAGCTAGAGAATAACTGGAGCATCTACTCACCTACTCTCATCTACATAAAAGGGTGATCAGTGAGATTTGTCATTTGCAATCAGGGGAAGAGTTGAAAAAGGAGCCATCAAGTCTGACACTTTTTGTTCCCTTTAGTAATGCTTACACAGTATTAGCTGTCTTCATTGCAGCTGAAGTTAATTAGATGAATTTGTTAGTATTTGTCAAATAAACAGATGTTTCAGACATTTACAGTGGTGGCCAGAATTATTGCAACACTATTATTTTCACCAGCTTGAAAAATGATTTCAAGTCAGTAATTTCTGTCTTTTGCTGTAGTGTGTCAGTAGGAAATATCAGTTTACATTTCCAAACTTATATTCCATTAATAGGGGTTATGCGCAACAGACTTCCGTATTCTGTTAACCAGGTCTCGTCGCTTCCGGTTCAAGCGT